TCCTAGCGCAGGGCACCCAAAGCTATGCAACACCCAAAGGCTTCTCCTCCCACCACAGCCATCATTCCTTCACCTGTCCCAGCTCTCCACAGACTTTTCCCAGGAAACTCCATGCTTGGAGCTTCATCCCAGTCTGGATTTTCCCTGGATGTTGGATCCCAGGGCCGGGTCCCTCTGGCTCTCGGGTGTGAAATAGAAATCATGTTTTTATGATTTTATTTTTTTTTTTGGTAAATCTTTACTCTTTTTACACCTTGTTTTTGTAAGCTGAAGTTTCTTATTAAAAAAAAACAAAACAAAGAGAAAAAATAAAGAAATCCCAGTGGGTTGTTATTCCATAAATTTTAATAAACATCTGGGGGTGGGGGGTACAGCAGGAAATTCCGTGCACATCCTCAAGGAAACAATTCCTGAAGGGATGAATCAATGGGAAACCAAATTCTCCGTCAGTATTAAACCTTTTGTCCTGCTCCAGGCAGGACAGGCAGGATCAGAGCAGCTCCAGGTGGGATCAGAGCAGCTCCAGGTGGGATCAGAGCAGCTCCAGGTGGGATCAGAGCAGGTCCAGGTGGGATCAGAACAGCTCCAGGTGGGATCAGAGCAGGTCCAGGTGGGATCAGAACAGCTCCAGGTGGGATCAGAGCAGCTCCAGGTGGGATCAGAGCAGCTCCAGGTGGGATCAGAGCAGCTCCAGGTGGGATCAGAGCAGCTCCAGGTGGGATCAGAGCAGCTCCAGGTGGGATCAGAGCAGCTCCAGGTGGGATCAGAGCAGCTCCAGGTGGGATCAGAGCAGCTCCAGGTGGGATCAGAGCAGCTCCAGGTGGGATCAGAGCAGCCCCACAGCTCCAGTCCTGGTGGGAGGGTGAGCTCTGCTCCCGGCAGCTCCGGCTCCTTCCTGGGACAGGGATTCAGCAGCGTCAGGGGAGCTGGTTCTGCTTTACTCTGTGTAAAGAGGGGCTTCTGTGGGGTGTGGGGCCCCTGGGGTGGGCTCAGCCCCGATTTGTGTCACGTCACATGGTGACAGCGCTGTCCTGCGGGCTCAGGGTGAGTCTGAGGCCTCGGGGGGCAGCGACACCACCCAAGGGAGGGCTGGATTTGGGAGATTTAGAATGGATATTGGGAAAGGTTCTTCCTCCAGAGGGGTTTGGGGCACATTCCCAGAGCTGCAAGAGTGGACACCTCTCCATGGATGCCCAGGGTGGGATTTTGGGGTCTGTGCATGGCCAGGAGCTGGATTTGATCCCTGTGGGGCTCCTCCAGCTCAGGATATTCCCTGATCCCACTCCCATGGAGCCCTCCCCGAGGACTGACCGCTGCTACGGGACGGGCTGCGGGGCCATCAGGTCGATGTCTGTCAGGTTCCGGGCGACCCAAACCCCGGCGGCGAACAGCCCCAGGTTCACCAGCAGGTTCCTGGAACAGGAAAATCCCACAAGCACTGAGGCTGGAAATGACTTCAGCTCATCCAAGCTGTGCCCCGTGCCCACCTTGGCCCCACCCTGAGCCCTGAGTGCCACCTCGGGGACTCCAAACCCCCCTGGGCACTTCCAAGGCCTGGCCGCCCTTTCCATGAGGAAATTCCTGCTGCTGTCCAAGCTGAGCCTCCCCTGGCCCAGCCTGAGGCCGTTCCCTCTCCTCCTGTCCCTGTTCCCTGGGATAACATCCCAAATCCCCCCCGGCTGTCCCCTCCTGGCAGGGACTTGTGCAGAGCCAGGAATTCCCCCTGAGCCTCCTTTTCTCCAGGCTGAGCCTTCCCAGCTCCCTCAGGATTCTCCAAACCCTTCCCAGCTCCCTCATGATTCTCCAAACCCTTCCCAGCTCCTTTCCCTTCCCTGGACACGCTCCAGGCCCAAAATGTCGTCCCTGGACTGAGAAGCCAGAACTGGACACAGGGACCGAGGTCCCTCCCAGCACTGAGGGACAATCCCTGCCCTGCTCCGGACACAGCTGGGGACAGACACCGGGCTCCGGATCCCGATCCCAGCTCCCACCGCCATTCTGGTCCCGGCCTCGATCCCGACCCTCATCCCGATCCCGATCCTAATCCCGGTCGCGGTCCGGACCTGCGGAAGTCGTTGCGGTCGGTGGCGAAGCGGAACGCGCTCCGCAGCCAGGCGCGGATGCCCCGCGGCGGAACCGCCGCCGCTCCCGCTGCCCCCGCCGCTCCCACCGCCGCCATTGCTGCCGCCCGCCCGCGCCGCGCGATGACGTCACTCCGCGCGTGACGTAACCGCCGGCGCGCGGAGCGCCACGTGCGAGAGGGGACCGGGATTGGGATCGGGATCGGGATCGGGATCGGGATCGGGATCGGGATCGGGATCGGGATCGGGATCGGGATCGGGATCGGGATCGGGATCGGGATCGGGATCGGGATCGGGATCGGGATCGGGATCGGGATCGGGATCGGGATCGGGATCGGGATCGGGATCGGGATCGGGATCGGGATCGGGATCGGGATCGGGATCGGGATCGGGATCGGGATCGGGATCGGGATCGGGATCGGGATCGGGATCGGGATCGGGATCGGGATCGGGATCGGGATCGGGATCGGGATCGGGATCGGGATCGGGATCGGGATCGGGATCGGGATCGGGATCGGGATCGGGATCGGGATCGGGATCGGGATCGGGATCGGGATCGGGATCGGGATCGGGATCGGGATCGGGATCGGGATCGGGATCGGGATCGGGATCGGGATCGGGATCGGGATCGGGATCGGGATCGGGATCGGGATCGGGATCGGGATCGGGATCGGGATCGGGATCGGGATCGGGATCGGGATCGGGATCGGGATCGGGATCGGGATCGGGATCGGGATCGGGATCGGGATCGGGATCGGGATCGGGATCGGGATCGGGATCGGGATCGGGATCGGGATCGGGATCGGGATCGGGATCGGGATCGGGATCGGGATCGGGATCGGGATTGGGATTGGGATTGGGATCAGGGTCTTGATCGGGACCGGGATTGGGACTGGGATCAGGGTCAGCTCCGGGATCGGGATTGGGATTGGGGCCGGGGTCTGGGTTGGGATTGGGATCGGGATAGGGAAAATACCGAGACTGGCATTGGGATCGAGACCGGGAGCAGGATCGGGATTGGTATCGGGAGCAGGATCTGGATGGGGACCGGGATCGGGGCCGGGGTTTGGGGTTCCCGGGAATAGCCGTGGGAAGCCCTGGGATCGGGGGAGGTTCTCGGGAGCAGCCAGGGAACTGCGGCAGTTTCACTCGAGACTCAAATATCTGGATTTTGAGAAAAAGAATAGAGACACAAAGGGAAAGAGGGGGGGTTACATTAAAGGAGTTTTAGGAATTGGGGTTTTGGGAAGTCTGTACCTCTCAAATACCTCAGCCCATGGAAAAGAGAGAGGAAAATGAGGATAAAAAGGAGGCTGTGTCCCCTAAAAGTTTGAGAAGCCCCAGGGGAAATGCCCCGTGGCCTCTCCCTTTACTCCAATGAAGTTACAGAACTCCTCTGCCTCCTTTTTGGACATAAACCTCTGTGTTTGTGGTGGTGTGAATGAAATTAGACAAATAGCTCTGTTGAATTAACAGCAATTTAATTAAAAATTAATACAATTCAGTGAAAGAATACAATTTACTGAATTGAATATCGATTTGATATAAACGAACACAAGTTAGTAAAAAAAATACAATTTATATACATGTCTGTAATTTGTTAGTAATTAATTATGATTAAAACATAAACAAAACTGACTGGGGTGTAAAGAGGGCTTCTCACCCTGCCTCGCATACAAAACAAAGCAATTCAAACTGAATTTATATAGTATATATATAAATATATATACTATATTTATATACTTTATGCTTATACATATTCATTGATGTTTGCTCTAAGTTTCCTCCCACTTTCAGTTCTTAAATTCTCCGTCGCTAATTCACGCCTCACTTGTTGCTAGGGGGTCTTCATTCTTCTGGTGGTCTTTGGATGAAGGCTCACACTCATCCTCGTTGTCCTCTGGATACCTCACAGGTTGTGCTAAATGTTGTGTGAGTAGTGTGTTCCACTAATTAGCTTTGCATTTCATAAATTAATAAATTCATAAATAAAACCATAATTTCAGGCCCTGTGCTTGAAGTCCTTCCAACTGTGTCCATCTCAAGGTCATTTCTTATCTTTAAAAGCTACATCCTGTATCCTATTTTTAACATGGAACATCTGCAAAGGGCTCCATCTGCCCTGTAACACCAATTCCCTTTATTGCTTTTAATAATAACTTTCCAAATAGTTACAACTTAGTCAGCACAAATCATCTCCATTTATCACAGGATTGATTCTCCTGACACTTCTGGGGTTGCACGTTTTAAACACAGCACTCCTGACATTCCTGTACTTTATACTCCACGATTTTCTCTCTCTCATTTACTCTTTGAATGGATTATCAGAATATTTACAACGATGGGAGCAGATCCTTGTCCTGCAGCTTTTGTGTTCTCCCAAGCTCCTGTGCCTGGGAAAAGCAGCTCATGGCACAGAGCTGCTGCGGGAGGAGGCTCAGGTGGAGTCCCAAACCCGAGAGTTGCACATTTTTGGGGTGCTCAGTCCATGCCATGGGCATGGGGGGGTTGTTAAAATCAGCTGTTTAATAATTGGCTTTTGCTACAATGCATTTGTTACTGCAAGTCATTGGAGTTGCTTGTAAATAATTTCAGTTGTGTTATTTACAATAATAAATTGTGCTTTTAGATCCAGCCCAAGATTGCAGCGGGGTTTGTGGGAAGCTGGGCTGTCACAAGAGATGCATCACAGGAAAGGGCTGCTCCTGCAAACCCCAAAGCAGCACAGGCAGAAATGATAAAAGGAGGAAACAGAGTGAGAGGGGCCTCAGAAAACCACCCCAGAGTGCCTCCCTGACAGATCTCAGACACTGCAGCTGTGGCAAACCTGGGGCAGAATTGTGGCAAACAGCTCTGAAAATTGGCAGAGTCATTTGGGGAAGTAATGCAGTTACAACAAAAAAAATAATATTTAACATCATCCATCAGAACCCCATTTAAACTCCTTATGTACATCTGAATTTTCCTAGTTAATATCTCTTCTTTGGTAAGTGTCTTACAGGTTTCTTACTGCTCGTTTATATTCTTTTTCATTTGTTTTCATGATTCATCCTCTGAAAATGGAAAAAAACCCTCCACATCTTTAATTTCTTTTAAAGGCCTGCTTGCTAAAGAAGTGGCTCTTTCTTTTGCTTTATTGATTTGTCCCTTATCATCCCTTTTAACAATTTTCAGGAGTGGGTTTCGTTCCTCACAGAGTCTTTAAGGATCCTTTGTGGCATGAGGACGGTGGTTATAGTGAGTTTTATTACTATTATTATATAAATTTTACCAATACAAATATAAATACAATTTTAGATATGTATAATATATAATATATAATATATAATATATATTATTTATATTATATATTTTATCTATATATTATATATTATTTAGAATATAATATACATTATTTATACTATATATTTATATATTTTATATAAAATATTATTATATTATATTATATTATATTATATTATATTATATTACATTATATTATATTATATTATATTGAATTTATTATATATATTATTTATATTATCTATATAATATATTATATATGGTATATATATTATTTATATTATATAGTTTATATACATAATATATTATCTATATTATATTAAATTTAGTTATAATATAATTGTAATATTATATATTAATTATATATAATTAAATATATATAATTAATATAATTTATATTATATATAATATAGATAATATATTATATATTATTTCTATATTTTTAATATATAATTTATATTTCACATAAATTTTAACAGTAAAAGTAACTTATTCTTGCACAGAATTTCTGGAATGCTGCTGGACCCTGTTCCCAAATCCCATCCAGCTAATTGATCCACGCTGCCAGCTAATTGATTTACGGCAATTAGGGGCTCTCCTTAAGGGACCATCTGGAGATGCGGGGAGCATCCCTGGGGGGCTGTCCGGAGTTTCCCGAGGGTTTTTCTCCACTTGTCTCTGTGTTTTCCCGTTCTCTCCATGCTCTGGTGACATTTGGGATGGCTTTTCCTGCCCCGTCCTTTCCGCACGTTTGGGATGAGCGGTGCCTCCCTCCCTGCCTGCCCTCCTCCCACGCTCCGGGAGGGACACCCGGGCTGTTCTCACCTCCGTGAGATGCGGGAATTCGCACGGCCCGACCAGTTCAGACCAGTTCGTTATCGGAGCGTCCGAGCCAGCCCCCGGCGCTGCCGGGGATGTTCCTGGCGCGGGGGAATGGGAAATGCGCGGGGGGCAGGGCGAGCCGGCCGTGCCCTGAGCCGAGCCCGGAGCGCCGCTCCCGGCGGGAGTGCGGGGGAAAGGGGGGAGGAGAGCCTGGAGGCGCCGGGCCGGCCCGGGAGGGGATGAATTGGGTGGGCAGCGGCTTTGGGAGACCCTCAGAGCCGCGTCCCCAGAGCCGGCTGCGGTGGCAGGAGGTGACAGACGCCTTGGGAGGTGACAGCCACCCGCTGGCCCCCGTCCCCGCCGCTCCCCCGGCATGGCAGAAAAGGTGGGTGCGACGGAGCTCTGTCCTGCCGGGGCCCTCCAAACCCTCCCGCTCTTCCCTGTCCCTTCCTCGATTCTGCTCCAGCCCCGGGAATGGGGGCCCTGCACCCCAAATATCCCGGCACAAGTTTGGGAGCGCCCCGGGCAGCGGGCGGCTGATGCCGGAGCTGGGGGGCGGCAGCAGGCCTGGTGCCCTGGGGGTGCGGGGACACCCACTTTGGACAGATATTCCATTCCCTGGGGCTGCAGGATCCCCAGGATCCCCTTTTCCATGGATATTCCATTCCCTGGGGCTGCAGGATCCCCAGGATCCCCTTTTCCATGGGTATTCCATTCCCTGGGGCTGCAGGATCCCCAGGATCCCCTTTTCCATGGGTGTTCCATTCCCTGGGGCTGCAGGATCCCCAGGATCCCCTCTCCCATGGATATTCCGTGCCCGGGAAGTGCAGGATTCCCAGGATCCCCTTTTCCATGGATATTCCATGCCCTGGGCATGCAAGGACCCCCTTTTCAGGGGGTCTCCGGCTGCTGTCGGGGTTCAGGTTGCCGCTCTTTGTTCCCAGATTCCCGAAGGAATTTGGCTGTCCCGGGGGGAGCGGCGCTTTCCGGGGTGTGCGCGCTCCTCTCGGGGCCGGAATGTGCCAGGAGCGGGATGGGAAGAGGAAGGGAAACCCCCGGGGGAGGGACAGGAGAGCTCGGGAGAACGAGAGCTCCTCAGGAGGGATCGGCTCCCGCCGGACACTGGTGTGCAATGAGAGGGTGCGGGATTGGGGTGCGGGATTTGGGGTGCGGGATTGAGGTGCAGGATTCGGGGTGGAGGATTCGGGGTGGAGGATTTGGGGTGCGGGATTGAGGTGCAGGATTTGGGGGGCAGGATTCGGGGTGCAGGATTTGGGGTGCAGGATTGGGCTGTAGTTGCGAAGTTACAGGTTTGGGGTTCTGGGCCCGGGTAAAGGGGTGGAGGATTGGGGTGCAGAGGTGCAGGACTGGGGTGCAGTTGCGAAGTTACAGGGTTGGGGTGCAGAGAAGGGTTGGGATTCAGGATTGGGATTCAGGACTGGGATTCAGGACTGGGATTCAGGATTGGGATTCAGGACTGGGATTCAGGACTGGGATGCAGGGTTGCAGTGCAGGGTTGGGGTGCAGGGTTGGGATTCAGGACTGGGATTCAGGACTGGGATTCAGGACTGGGATTCAGGATTGGGATTCAGGACTGGGATTCAGGATTGGGGTGCAGGGCCCTCCACCCCACCCCCCTCCATGCTCCAGTGCTGCTTTGCAGGATCTGAGGCTGACACCCCACAATTTAGGGACAAAAGTGGGGTTTCAGGCTGGCGGGGGGCTCATCCATCATATCCCGACATTGGGATCCCTTGGGGACATCACGGGGTGACCCACGGTGACACGTGGCAGGCACAAGCAGAGCCTCGGGCAGGCAAAGGGGGTGCCAAGGCATTGCCAGTCCCGTGTCACCCCCGGGGGACAGCGTGGGGGGCTTTGTGTCCCCAGATCCACCATGTCCTCACTGGTGGCCACACTGGGGGCTCTGGAGGTATCCCAGCAGCTCTGGGGGTGTCTCAGGGGCTCTGGAGGTGTCTCAGGGGCTCTGGAGGTGTCTCAGGGGCTCTGGAGGTGTCTCAGGGGCTCTGGAGGTGTCTCAGGGGCTCTGGAGGTGTCCCAGCGGCGCTGGAGGTGTCTCAGGGGCTCTGGGGGTGTCCCAGTGGCTCTGGAGGTGTCTCAGGGGCTCTGGAGGTGTCCCAGCGGCGCTGGAGGTGTCTCAGGGGCTCTGGGGGTGTCCCAGAGGCTCTGGAGGTGTCTCAGGGGCTCTGGAGGTGTCCCAGCGGCGCTGGAGGTGTCTCAGGGGCTCTGGGGGTGTCCCAGTGGCTCTGGAGGTGTCTCAGGGGCTCTGGAGGTGTCCCAGCGGCGCTGGAGGTGTCTCAGGGGCTCTGGGGGTGTCCCAGAGGCTCTGGAGGTGTCCCAGCGGCTCTGGAGGTGTCTCAGGGGCTCTGGAGGTGTCCCAGTGGCTCTGGAGGTGTCTCAGGGGCTCTGGGGGTGTCCCAGTGGCTCTGGAGGTGTCTCAGGGGCTCTGGAGGTGTCCCAGTGGCTCTGGGGGTGTCTCAGGGGCTCTGGGGGTGTCCCAGGGGCTCTGGAGGTGTCTCAGGGGCTCTGGGGGTGTCTCAGGGGCTCTGGAGGTGTCCCAGAGGCTCTGGGGGTGTCTCAGGGGCTCTGGAGGTGTCCCAGTGGCTCTGGAGGTGTCTCGGGGGCTCTGGGGGTGTCCCAGTGGCTCTGGAGGTGTCCCAGAGGCTCTGGAGGTGTCCCAGGGGCTCTGGAGGTGTCCCAGTGGCTCTGGGGGTGTCTCAGGGGCTCTGGGGGTGTCCCAGGGGCTCTGGAGGTGTCCCAGCGGCTCTGGAGGTGTCCTGGTGCTCTGGGAGCAGGGCTGGCAGCACCATGGGTGGCACCTGCCTGGCAGCGTCCCCAAGCCGGCAGTGACGTCCTGGGGGCCGTGCTGACCCAGCCTCTCCCTTCCAGCAGATCCCGCAGCTCCTGGAGTCCCGGTCGGGCCCGGGCCGGGGGCCAGGGCGGCCCTGGGGCAGGATGTTCCCCCCGCGGGGCTGCAGGAACGGCTTCCCCAGGGAGGTACGTGGGGCTGGGGCTCTGCTGGGGCTGCACAGCGGGCTGGGAGCGCCCCTGGAGCTCCCACCGTGGAGCTGCTCCATCCCGGGGGATGCTGAGGGTCTGGGAAGGAACTGGGGACAGTCTGGGTCTTCACAGGGTAGCTGGGTGGGCTCCTGCCTCCCCCATCCCTGCTGGGGCGAGCCTGCTCCGGGGGTCTCAGGGCTCTGATCTCTCCACAGCCCGGTCCCCCTCCGTGGTGGGATGGGCCACAGCCAGGTCCCCCTCCCGGTCCCGAGGACACCTGGGATGAGCCACCCTGGGATGAGCCACCCTGGGATGAGCCACCCTGGGAGCACCAGCACAGGAGACGCCGGCACAGGAGGCGCCCGGTAAGGGACAGGGCTGGGGGGAGATGTCCCAGGGATGTGTCCCAGGCACGGTGGGAACGTAGGAGTTTGTCAGGGAGACCCTCCCAGGCACAGAAAGAGCCTCTGGCTCCCTAAACTCCTTCCCCAGAACGAGTCTGGACATGTCTGGATCCAGTTGTGGACCCCCCCAGGCACAGAAATGAACCCCTGGCTTTCTGAATTCCCAAAAGGAGCCTGGAAACGTCTGGATCCAGCTGTGGAGCTGCCTGCCCAGCAGTTTGTGTCTAAAGGGCTCCACAGCTTCGTCCCCCAGGGCTGAGAATGGCCAAACAAATACATTTACATAGGTTAAATGGATTATATATATCTATGACATATTATTATATATCAGTGGATGGTGAGGATTGGACTAAAGGATCCCAACCAGTTATCTACAGTGCACTGTGGATGGTTATAACCAGGGCACTGTTTATTAAATCAATAGTTTCAAAGTTAATTAGCAGTTATGAAGTTTAGATTGATGTTGCACACTCAGACCCACACAAATCTCTTTGGCTCAGCCTCCAGGAGGGAAGGGCTCCAGAAAGGAATCCACACTCAATCCTGGGAGGGCCAAGCTGGGAATTCTGCTGTTCTAAAGTGGGGTTGAGCTTTTACAGGATGGGGTGGTGGGGTTTTGTCTGTTCTTCAGTTAGGATTGCTGCCCTCTGGCTCCTCCCAGGAAACGTTTCCTGCCAGTGCCAGTTGCTCTTGGGGTTTCATATCCTCTTGGGGTTTCATTTCGGGGTGTTTGAGTCAGGCTGCTCTCAGTGTTCCCCACCACTGGCAGCCTGCTAATTTTCTCAGGTGAAATCTGAGCTAATTTTCTCAGTTAGGTGAAATCTGAGCTGTTTCACCCTAATTGCATCCTGCTGCAAGGAGGGATTCACGGACACATCCAAAGCAGGGCAGAAAGGAGAGGCAGAAAGAGCTGAGGGTCACAGTGGGGAGGGGGAACAGCAAGAGAAGCAGAAAATCCCAGTCCTCAGCAGTGGCCATTCCTATTTCAGCCCAGGGGCTCCAGACCCTTCCCTGGCTCCGGTGATGCCCCGTGGAAGGAGGAGGAGAGATGGGCACCCCATTACTGCCCCCCACCTCCCCCCTGGGGTGACAGAGAAGAATTCCAAGGGCCTGAGGATGGCTTTGGAGACAGCTGGCACCTGGTGAGGGGGACACGGGCTGGGGGTGGCAGCCACATGTCCCCCTCATGTCACCTCGCTGCCCAGGTGACAGGGACAGTGTGGGGACCCTCTGCAGTCACAGCATCCCCTGCCCCATTCCCTGCAGGACGTGCTGCCTGATTCCTGGCCCGGATTCCCCGAGGAGGAGCAGCCCCCACCCTGGCCCCCCGCCGGCCCTCCACGGTGGGTGCCATGCTCGGGGGGCCCGTGTGGCTCTGGGGTGACAATGAGGGACACCAGGACCGCTGGAAGCTGCTCCTGCCTAGGCTGGGATTGCACAGAGACCCCTCCCAACCTAAACCCCCACCCTGGGGCTGTGCTCCTGCAGGAATCCAGGAGCTTTCCCTGAACACCGCCCGCCCTGGAGCCATCACCCGGCTGGGAGACGCCGCCTCCGCAGGAGCCACCACCGGCAGCTGACCGTGGTCCCCCGGGCGTGGTGTCCCCCAGCCCCCCGAGGTCTGTGCTGACCCCGTGCCGGATCCTCGGTGCTCTCCAGCCTCTCCCGGGGCAGGGTGAGGAGTCTCTCCCGCTGTTTCCCACCCTGCAGGGCACAAGCAGCACTCCAAGCCCTCTCCTGCCCTCTCCAACACGAGCCAGCCAGTGGCCAGGAAGGAGCTGCAGCCCCCGGATCCTGCCCAGCGCCCTGCTGCCCTCCAAGGTGCTGCGGAGACGCCGGAACAGCCGCAGGTTGTGGTGTTTGACCTGTCCCCTCTATCCCACACCGGGAGTGTGCTCACCCTGAGCCTTGCACGTGTCCTGGTTTCCTGCAGGATGTGCCAGTGGGGACTGGGAATGTCCTGGAGCCCCCCAGTCCGGCTGGGAGCCCTCTGGAGAGCCCGGCTGCCGATGCCGGTGCTGCGGAGCCACCGGTAGGAGATTCCCCCGCTGCCAGGGGTGCTCCCACCTCGGGAGCTGCCTGGATCACGGGTCTCATTGGCTGCTGGAACATCTCTCTCCTCTCTCCTCCAGCTCTTCCCCTCTCCACCTCGCTGTCTCTTTGCCAGGCATGGAATTTTTCCAGGCTCTTCTTTCTCTGGGATTTCCTTTGGGTTTCAGCGCCCTGTCCATCCCATCCCGGGATAGACGCGTGTCCTCACGCCACTGCCTCTCCCCAGGTTGAGCTGGAAGCTGGGCAGACCCCTGTGGGCGACCAGGATCATGATCCCTGTGCTTTGGGGACAGATCCAACCCCTCCAGAGGAGACCTCCAGCTATCCCAAGATCCAGGAGCACCTTGAGGTATGGGACTGCTGGGAAGTGGCGCTGGACCAGCTCCAGGCTCCCCAAATCCTCCCCACCAGCAGCAGCTTCCTCTAGGGACGTGCTTTATTCCCACCCTAACGCAGAGTCTGGAAGAGGCACAGCCCCCTTCCCCAAGCCTTTGTCCCCCTGTAACATTTGCACAGGTAGAGCCGTGCAGTCCAGGTGTCCCCAAGGCTGGCACCACTCATGGGTCACCTCCCCAGAGCCCAGCAGCCCCTCCACACCCTGCCAGGAGGGAACTCCTGGAATCCAGCTCCTCTGGAGAGGCAGGGGCTGAGCTCAGCCCACGTTCCTGGGAGCAGCCGCCACGTGGAGCTGGAGAAGCCGAGGCAGAAGCTGCCCAGGATGGGGTGAGTTTGGGATGTGGGGCAGCTCCGTGGTGCGTCCCCACCCCACGTTAGAGCCCCGTGAGGCCACTGCTGTCAGTGGGGCTGTGCTGGCAGCGCTGTCCCCCTGTCCCTGCACAGCCACTCTCTGTCCCTCAGCCTCTGCAGAGCCTTCAGCCGCCCAAAAACCCTCAGGTCCCTCCAGCATCTGCAGCAGAACCCGAGGTCCAGCCCAACCAGGCTTCTCCTGGTGCCTGCACCACACCAAAGACCTCTGCAGGGCCCCAGCACCCGCCTGGGTCTGGTGAGACAAAGCCGGTACGGGGTCCGGGTGCCCCCACGGGGCCGGTGCCCTGGGCTTGGGGACACTGCCACACCCAGAGGGGGATCCCTGTGGCCTGCAGGATCCCGGGCTGGGGTTAAAGGGCAGCTTTGTTTGGAGGCAGAGCCCGTATCGGCCCCGCTGCCGGCTGTGCCGGAGATGCCAATAAACGGGAGACGGCTGGGAAAAAAGCCAGGGAGGTAACGGAGGCTTGGAGTGCTGGAGTGTGAACAGCCCCAGGACTGGAGCTCTGAGGAAGCCGAGGAGAGCTCTCCAGAGCAGCTTAATTACTGCCTAATGAGGGGGAGAAATTGGGACAGAGGGGGAGCGGGGGCGGCTCTGGCACCCGAGGGGAGGGTGGCAAACCAGGGGCTCCTTCCGCAGGGTGACCAGTCCCGGGCTAGTGACCAGCACTGGCAGCCCCAGTTTGGCTCAGTCCCTTTCCCCTCTGACCCTTCCTTGCCTTTTCCACCTCCCAGGCTGTGTCTGGCCAGCAGCAGCTCTGCTCCACGCTCCCCACACCATTCCCGGCAGGCGTCGACTTACGCTCTGCCACCGTCCTCGCCAAGAAGGCAGAGATCGAGCAGGTGAGTCCTGGCAGCCCCTGGATGAGCACCTGGAGGCCTGGGAGAGGCTGCAGGATGGAGGATCTCACCTGAGGATCTTCAGGAGCGATGCTGGGTGGTGGGGGGTGTGAATTTGTGCATTTTTGGGAGGCACTGGTGCTTGCAGGGGGAGGTGCTGTGGGCAATAAGGAGCTTGTAGGGGCTCTGATGACGTTTGAGGGTTTTAGGACTAAAAGTAGGGGTTTGTTTGGTGCTGGTTGTGGGGTGCTGACCCCGTGGCCCTCCCCTGCAGTCGTACCAGCAGTTCAGCCTGACCATCGCCGTGGTGGCCACGATGCTGCTGCAGAAGGAGCCGTCGATGGAGGCGGCGCTGGGGCTGGCGCTCAGGGCCAACCTCCGCCAGTGCCGCCTCTACCACCTGCAGCAGCTGGAGGAGTTCATCGACACCATCGACTCGGCCACCGCCAGCCTCTGATGGCAGCCACCCCCTCCTGCCAGCTGGGTGAGGGTGATGGGGGCTGTGACAGGGCTGTGACAGCGCTTTGGGGTGCTCAGGAGGGGGCTGAGCCTGCGGGGCAAGCTGGGAGGTGTTGGCAGCCCCACTCGACCTCTTGGAAGAGGGAGGGCGAGCAGGATATGTTTGGTTTTAGCCCTGCCCAGACTTCTGAGGGCAGCAAAAGTTTTACTGGGGGGTGATGGGAGGGAGGGCAGCAGTGCCTCTCCTCCATTCCTGCTTGCCAGGGATGTGTCCCCAAACCCCAGTGAGTGCTTTTGGGTTTAAATCTGAAATTAAACCGTGTTTTCTTTGCAGCCCTTGCTCTGCCATTGTTCTGTTCCCGCTCTCCTGGGGCTGTAGGGGAGGGGTCCCACAGCGAACCCCGGCTGTGGCAGAGGGCAGAGGCCACCCCTGGGGACCTCCCTGCCCCGGTGACATTGTCAGTGTCACAATGGGCTGGGAAGGAACAGGGCAGACCCTGCGTTCAGATTTCAGCCAAACTTTATTGGAGCTTCGTCATCGGCAGCAGCAGAGCTGTGCCCCAGGTCCCCTCCCTGCGGTGGCAGCGGTGCCACCAGGGATGGAGAGCAGGTGGCAGTGGGGCACAGAGGAGTCCAGGGAAAGATCCCACCCAGCAGTGGGGTGATGCAGGCAGCTGCCCTTGTCTGGAGTTCCGGCCGCTCTCCCTGGAGCTGCCACCTTGTCGGAGGCGCTGGAGCCCCGGCGCGGCCGCCGGCCCCGCTCCCTTCCTGCTTTACCTGTTCCTAATTGCGGGAGAGGCTGGCAGGAATTGCAGGCTCTGCTCTGCCAACAGCCGCCGGGGGGGAAAAGATCCCAGCAGCTTCTCCCACCAGCCTTGGGCCGCGTCCAGGACACACTTGGAACGTGTTGAGGCTGTGGCAGGACCTGGCAGTGCCACTCGGGGAACCCGGACCCCGCTGTTAGGACACACTGCAGTGCTTGGCCGTCCTGCCCCTGCCCCTCCCCGGGGGCTCCCTGCCCAGGGAATTCATCCCAGGCTTGGGGATGGGCTTCCCAAAAAAGAAACCCTCCTCCTCTGAGTCCGAGTCCGAAGATGAGGAGCAGGTGGGACACCAGGAGTCCTCCTCCTCCTCCGTGCCATCCTCTGCCCGGGGGCTGTGTCGGGGAGGGGAGGTGCCCGCTTGGAAGTGTGGGTTTCCATTGCCTGTGGCTGTTCGGGTGTTGGGGCCCCCCAAAAGCGGCTGGCCCAAGGCTCCAGGCTCGTTGGGCCACTCTGGGCTGGGCTGGGGGGCCGAGGAGTGGCCGGCTGGGGATCCCAGCATCCCTGGGTGCTCCTTGGCAGCATCGCCCCTCCACTCCCGTGCGGCTGCTCCGAGATCCTCGGGGCTCCTGAACGCAGGGTGCACCAGGGCCTGATCTGAAAACGCCTCTGGAAAAGGGGAAATGGGTGTAAGGGAGGAAGGAGAAGCTGAGCCTGCCCTCCCACAGCCATCCCACAGCAAGGGCTGTCTCAGGACACAACGAGGTGGCACCGAGCCACCTCCAGCTCCCACCGTGGGAGGTGGGCTGGGGGTTTATCCCCACTTCCCACTGTGTGACATTCCCAATGAAGTCCACGGGAGGTGGGCTGGGGGTTTATCCCCACTTCCCACAGTGTGACATTCCCAATGAAGTCCCCAGGGTCTGGGCAGAGCCTGGATTTGCTCCCACTCCCGTCCCAGCCCATGGTAGTAGGACCCTACCAGCCCCTTCCCCCTGCTGCCTGCAGCCCCCCGCTGCCGAGCGGGACAGGGGCGTGGAGTCGGGGGATGGAGCGGAGGCGAAAGCCGAGTCGGAGGAGTCGGAGGCGGTGGAAGAGGCGTCCTGGCCGCGGCTGCAAGTGTCGGAGCAGAAGAGGCGGCCGCGGCGGCAGGTCAGGGGCTGTCCCCGCAGCGGCTTTCGGCACAGGCTGCAGCAGAAGCAGGCGGCTCGGGCGTGCCAGTGCAGCCCCTGGTGTGTGACCTCCTCGCTGTCAGCACCTGCGGGGCAACCACAGGTGAGGGCAGTGCCAAAATCCATCCTCGGAAGGCTCCGCGGCCAGGGGAGCCCGCGGGGGTCGCGGCCGTACCGATGGGGTCCCCGCAGGCCTGGCACGGCTCGGCAAAGAGGCTCTCGAAGCAGCCCCGGCAGCAGGGCCGGCCGCTCCTCATCACGTAGCGCTGCCCGCGCAGGGGCTCGTCGCACTCCAGGCAGCAGAAATGCTCCAGGTGCCAGCGCCGGCCCTCGGCCTCGATGCACTCCTCCATGAAGATCAGCTGGAATGGGAAAACAGCCTCAGAACCCTCGGTGCTTCGCTGTGCTGAGGAGTGAGGAGGAGCCGCCAGCCCGTGGGGCTCTCTGCAAGGCTCAGGAAAGAATATTCCTCCGGCCCATCGGTGGTTCTGATGGATTTGGAGCCCCCAGCTGAGCTTGGGGGTGTTTAACAGCCTCAGGGAGGTCAAAGCCTGCCCCTGGCCAGCACCCACCTGGCCAGCACCCACCTGGCCAGCACCCACCTGG